TTGCATGATAAATTACCCCTAGAGTCAACCCTTGAGTTACAGACAGACTTATATGTTAAGAAGTAGCCAAAAAGTGATACTTCAAAACGAGAATACCAATTAACTTGCTAGCTAACTGTGTTTAGTTAGTGGACTGGTCATAATGTGACCTGAAATGAGATCACTACAGTTCTGGATGATGGGCAGAAAATATTATATTTTTAATAAGTCATAACTGCAGTGGACGGATGCTTAAACGTGGATTTAAACCGGAAAGAGAGTAACTCAGAACCCTAGTATTTCATTTGCTGTTGTAATGGTCAGAATGGATAGAATAGTTGCAACAGTCTGCTCAACGTTCAAAACTTTAGGCGAGCTCCAGTGTCGTGGAATTCCAATTATTAGTTGTGTAGTAGACAAAACAGATAGTGACATGAACACTTCAGTAGACTATAACTGAGAGGCAGAACACAGGCGTCGAAATACTTTATGAATAATGGAGATCTCGGCAAAAGGGTGATACTAAAGCTCACACGAAGAAAAGAGTTAGGCTGTTGATGTTCACCGGCCCCCGTTTTCGGAACTAGAGCCTTCCTGTTCTCTATCCGCTCCACTGAGAGAAGATAAAGGCACAAATCAGCTGATAGCTGCGGAGATCAGGTTTTAGAGGCCGGAGGTATTGACGTTCACGAATAGTACGAAGTATACTAACGCAAGATCTAATACCAACAACTTCTAAAGTATTTGTTCGATATAGACCAAAGGCGAAACCGAACACCAGAATTAACCGTCCAAATTACGAATTATATTTCGGGACCAGATTGGAGTGCGAGATGATTGCATAACTAGCTAGGGATCGTGCACGAACGAACGGAAAACGACGGCGTACCTAATGGCGTGAATACTTGACCGGGAGCCTTCAGCCAAACAAGTTGACTTAAACAATGAGGGTCAGCATCCAATGTTCAGTGATGAAAGCCGTGGCCATTAATTTTGGGGAATTATTTACCGCTACAGGGTGTTAATGTGTTGTTGTGTTTAGGCCATTTTACATTGTTTTTAAAGGCTTTTCGGTGGAGATGAATTCTCAATACCACATTTTAAAGAAAAATCTAGTAAAAATTGAGAAATGTAGTCATTTTTTGTTGACAAAATGTTGTGTTCTCATCGAACTAACACTTTGAGGTGTGTAGAGGATGTCAGAATTCGTTGACAAATGTCAATTGTATTAAGAAATACTAAGCGATTCATATAATTGGAACATATTTCTGTTAATGATGACGAAGTGCGTTGAATATCGGGGTAGTTGTGATATCATGATACTTACAAAATTTCATTCACAAAGGGAACCAAGTTGAATGGTTTGTGAGATAACGGTGAAGAAGCAGGTATTTAACTGAAAGGTATTGTTTTTAAACCGTTTATTCAACTCATCATTTCTTAACTGAAGTTTTGCAATTTTTATTTTCCGGGTAATGGTCTTCACTTCCGCAGTCACTCAGTATATTTAGACGTTCTGATGAAATGAAAACAGAGAATATGTGTGTGAATGATGGAATACTTCTGATCTTATGAGTGTATTTGTCAAAATAAATATTTCTAAAAAGTTTAAATACCACTCGATATCAGTAGTACATTCTGTTCGCCAAGGTGAAAAGTGATTCCAATTTAGAAGTAATTATTTTAAAAAGTCACACCTATATATGATTGAATTTGGGTATAGTGAGATACTATTATTGGTTTGCCGTAGTTGCCTCTGCCAAGAGACTGCAAACAGGCGATATGCACAACAAAAGCCTATGCAATAAGTTAAGGTATTTGATGACAAGAAAATCGATGAAGTTGAGTTACGTGGTCAATTAATACACAAGTATAGGCGTTAATATGACCATGTAACTGCTATTTCCTTCTTGGCATTAATGAATACTAATATTAAATGCAACTAGATCAGCCTTAACTGAAACATTTCACGCAAGGCTTGATGAGGCATTGAGGAAATAATGACGGTTAAAAACTTTGGCGCAATTCACACAAGTATTGCTACGTTACCTATCACTCTCGTCGTCGTGGGATGTCGTCGAAATGATCAGTAAAAGTGATACAGGTAGCCGACATAAATGCATATATTGACAACAGAACAATTGTCAACCAAATTAAAAATAATTTAATGTGAAAGAGTACATATTTACGCCAAAGAGTTTATAAAAACTCGGTGTAAAAAATTTTTTATAGGTGCATCAGAGTCACCAGAAAGTCTACTAATCATTTTATCTACAAGATGTGGATCAGTTCTCCCCAGATGATAGTGGTACTGGACCAGTCTTTGTAGTTTCCATCACCAACAGATCCGCCAGGTAAAACTGGATATGTTCATATCCAGAAAGGTCATGGTCTTTCCATGCAGAATTTAGGATTGTATTTCCTTGACTACCTTCGACTATATCGCAAAATATCTATGGATGTGTACACATCAGGTGAATTTAGTTTACCTGTGTACAGTCCCTTATCTTAAACACACTGAATATGTGAACAATCAGAGAATCGGTGAAATTTTATAGATTGATCGTTCATACATTCCTTGATAGATTTGAAGAATCGCAGAACTTCCGATTCATCTATCGCAGTTTCTCTTCTGCAAAAAGCAAATAATACACGACTGCCTCTCCTATCAATCCGTTTCAACCAATTGAAAAAGACCAAACCTTCAAACTTTATACATTGATTAAGTTATCCAATAATATTCGTTTTGTAAGTGCATCCAATGCATATCACATCTGCGTAACTTATACATATATTAATTTGTTCCCTTAAGATGGAAAATATAATTTATATCTGATTTTATTACCATTTCAAAGCCCACCTAAGTAACGCACAACGCATGTTGGCCTCAACACTTTCACAGGGGAAAATCTGCCAAGCACAGTACCCACGAGTGACCTTCAAGTGTTCAGCCTCTCAATAAGCTATTTGAGCTTCCATCCTCTGTCCGCACCACTACAACTGCCAAGTTTAAATAAGACAGGTGAATGCTGGAGTTAAGACACATAAGTCAGAGGTAGAGGATAACATTTATGAATGTCAGTTTAAATACTTAAAAAATACTAATGTCATAAGCACTTATTCAGGAGGGATTTTCACGTTATTCGTCCTGTGCAACGTGATTCGTTACATGGGTGTGCTTCAGTAGGAGGAAAGATCAGCCAGTAGCTCTGAAAGAATTTACAGATTTGTGAGTGGTATCCACAAGCCCATAACCAGAAGTCTGTTGAGGCGAGTGATTTCGAAAACGCATCGGTCTGTAGCTTAGAAGGAGGGGGAAGATTAAACATTACATCTAACAGTGATCATATGTGTGAATCACTACGATCCGCATTTCGGCAGCATGGAATCGTTTTTAGGCGAAGTTAAAGAGTAGTGATAAAAGGAGGGTGGAAGTACAGAAGTACATCTGAAGTCGGCAATATGTAATAGTTATGACATTGCAAATGGCAGACGTTCAAAACTGCCATTTTTAGTGTTTGTAAGTATGAGATATTTGTAGATAAGCCTCGTAAAAATCTCTTAAGCAGTGGACATCCTGGAAGGTTTTTTGACAGAAACATCAAAAGAAAACATCAACATCCTCAGACAAATCACAGTGTCAAAGAAGACACTGTTTATGAGTTTGTCGTTCAAAGGCGACACTATTGCTGAGGTAATTAAAAGTAGCATATCTAAGATTACATAAATCCTGCTTAATTTTATAACAATAAGGTCTACCGTCAAAATGCTCCAAATGGTTCTCAGAGTATAAACTGCCCAAGTGTGAGGCCAGCTTTGTTTACTCGTGTTTGACTACAAGATACTTACTGCCAGAACGACTCACTCCTTTACATCGTGGTCTTTGCTGAATTATTTCCAGGATCTGAATTATCCTCATAGTTCTTTCTCCTCAGTGCCATTAATGACGACATGGAGTTCAGACATCTCTATCTCTGGAACACAGGTAACCAGTCTTCAAAATATATCTGTTTCTGGGATCCTATTAACACCATCTTTTATCATACTACATAAAAGCAGTAGAAAGCCAGGAGGATTGCATTGATGCAAAATTCAAAACATTTGAAGATACCGCCAATTTTAGCAGTTAGGCAAGTAAGGTAGAAGGCAATATCGAAGGCCACTGTCTGTTATATTCGTGCATACTGAACATGAAGGCCATTTCAGGGATTATTTATTTCGAATCGCAGAATATTTATGGTACACGTTAGTACTTTTGGCTAAAATTTAGCATTCATCTCCTACGAAGAGTTAAACTTGCCTACTTGGTAATGTCAATGAAAATTCATGGTCACTACTTCTAACCAAGTTTTCTGTCGTTATTTGTACGTTACACACGGGCTTTAGTCTATTTTCCTGATGACATACATGGCGATTTGCCTTACCCACATCTCTCACTCCGTTAGAAATTAAATTATCGTTATTTATAGCTTCTAGCAGCACAAATCACGCTGCTAAGCACCTCTAACTAAAATATTAGCCCTGTTTTATATTTTATATTTTAAGCTCTAATAACTTCCGATGGAGGTACTATTTTAAGTTGAGGAGCAGTTCTACCTGTATAATGGGAAAAAGAGAGCACAATGACCTACCAAATGACGCACACGGGGTATAATGCGAAGCGTCGAGGTGAGACTAAAAGTGGATTATTATAACAAGAAGAAATGAAGGTATAGGCGCGAAGATTTAGAGTGCAAGTTCAGTGCCATATCATTTATTCTCAGTTCATTTACGTCATTTGATAATTAGTCCACTACATTCACATGGCCAGAATCTACAATGCAATTATGAAGTAAACATATTAGTTCCGTGAGTGTCACATAGTATTTAGAAATTTCACCGTAGCGTTTTGATTTATGTTAGTGCCAAAACATCATATGCTTATGTTAACTTCAAAATAATTTCATATGAGCCGAGGAACTGTTTTCTACATATTACTTCTGTATGTCAGCCCTCTCACTAAATATATTTCAATGAACCGGGTGTAGTGCTCTACACTGACTTTCACTGGTCGATAATACAAGTTGGAGACTTTTCTTTTCAGAAAGTATTTTCTTTATTCCGAACATCTGTAAATAAATGATGACAGGAATAAAGGTTGTAAACATTTAAGTCATGTTCATAGTGTATTAAGTGTGATACGTGCATCACGTGCTGCATCAATCTGTTAGTGAACCAGCTTAATAATTATGCGTAGTAGACGACTGACACCAAATCATAATGGTGTGTGACAGAAGAATATAAGAAATGATATGTTACCTAGTAAAACAAAAATAGTGGGCATATCTATTCATCTTGGAGGCTGGAATCCCTTGTCTCTTAAGACTGCCGGCGCGCCTATTTAAGTGCTGGAACTCCTGGTCAGTTTGTCCGTATTATGGGTCTTGGTTATTACTAATGCCTCGGAAGAAGTCTATTCAGACGAACAATGCAGGATGCGTATTTTGTGATAAAAACGATCAGCATCCACTTTTAGGACCTGTGGTTGAAAAAAATGGGTTGAAGATGCACACGAACTGCCTTGTAAGTTTTTGCATGCGGAATATTTCACTTTCGTAGTTTGCTGCCAGCGGCTTATCTCAAACGATTGATGAAGATGATTCATCAGATGATCATATAATTGGATTTTCTATTTCATCGATACATAAGGAAATTAGACGAGGTCGAAGTCTTAGGTGCTCAGTTTGTCGTTTCCATGGAGCTTGTGTTGGATGTACTGTTAATACTTGCCAGACTACTTTCCATCTTCCTTGTTTGATCAACGCACAGGGAATGACGATATTTGAAGGCAACTTTGCTTCTTTTTGTCGGCGTCATGCCCCCAGACAGGTAAGTCTTTAATTTTATCGCTATTCATGAACTGCAGTTCACCTATCCTTTATAATAGCCTTAATGCTTTTATTGAGAAATGCTAGTCAAGTACAAACTAGTTTTTTCATTGAGATTTTCTCTTGAAACGTTTATCGATCAGAACCGATGGATAGACTTGGAACATCACATTTTATATGATGAGAAAAGTGTAGGGCAGGATGTTACCAACTTACTCCGTGACTTTAAGTAAACGGACCTATTTTTCTTCCATTGTTACGCTGTTAATATTTTCACTTGGTTTTATATCCATATTCTTACTGAACAGTAATATCAATGTAAATGCCCTGTCAATCATTATCCCTGTAATGAGCAAGTTAGATGCAATACTGCATACTGAGAATTTCATATTTGTACCTGAAGTACTGCTTAGAATAAAGCTATTATTATTATCCGTCTCTGTGTGCCAAGAATTGTCACTGATATGGAAAATCGTTGTGTAAAATACTTAATGCTGATTGATTTCTAGTCTCAATGGTTTTAGTTTGTCAACAAATACTCTTAATGTTCAGGCTTTCTTCATTTCATCAGTATACCTAACCAGTTGGCGAATAGATGGTTGCTCTATTTATTCACTTCGTCCTGTCACTTATAAACGTCTAAAAGCATACAAGATACGTAACAGCACTCCTTTATATTTTAGGGTTGGCTTAGTTTCTAGTGAAATATGTCCTAATGGTTACACTCCACATAAGACATGAGGCCTGAAAAGTTTCAAAGGAACTATAATGAATGGATATGTACGAAAGAACGAATACCTACATGGATAATAGTAATAATTTAATGGATCTAGAAAGTCATAAGAGGTGAATACATCTGTGCCATAAAGGTAGATGTAGATGAATGTGTGCTTTATGAACTGTAGTAATCTTTGGTCCTCTCTCACATATGAAGTGGTATAGTAGTGTGAGCAGTATTGAGGTGAGACATCGGTCGAGTGCTAGGTAAAGAGGGGAAATCAGTTGACGAAGTTGTGAAGTTACACCGATTGAAATGGTTAGGACATTTGTTACGCATGCCTAGCCATCGCGTTCCTCAACCGACGGGCAATGTTAGCTGACATAGGATCAGGTTAGAAAAGAGTTAGCTAGTGATGGTCAAACCAAAACATGACTTCATCAGTCAATGAAATCCACAATAGTTAGTTTAAGCCACGTAGGAAGATGTAGACTTCTGACTGGTTGAGGTCCTCGGGATGGTAAAAACCAATGATGGCTGAAGACAATTGTTAATATTGCTCAAAATCGTTCTCAATGGCTAGCGCAGATGCATTCACTCTTTGTGATTTATCATATCCAATAAGACTCTGTTGTTCTTCCATAATACTATTCATATTGCCTCATATTTGTTTTTAATCTCTCCTCTTACTCTGTGTGCTACGTGGAGTGTGGCAGCTCAAACCGATGCACATCTGTGCAAATTTCTATGTTGAAACCAGCCAGTCAGTAAAATGAATTGCTGATCTTTTATGCAAACTTCTATGTTGAAAATTTAGTTCAATTGGTTCTGCACAAGACCTGCGTATTTTGGTAATACGACAGTTTTTTCCCACTGTTTCCATGCACATTATGGATGATATCCCTAATTAGTTAGTGTTTATGTGCAAGTGTTTTTAAAAGTTACAGGTAACATCTATGTTAGATTGAGTGTAAATTAGCTATGATGCATGGTTCTTAATTCATTGTAGGATTTGGACAACTGGCTAGCACAATGCAAAGAACCTCCTTCATGTTGTATCTGCTTGTTTTCAATTATTCCGGATAAGGATTTTGAGGCTAACCATGTGCCAAAGACAAAACAGAAGGTTGTATCTAGTGTTGCTTCTACTCACACTATCACTACTGTTACTACTACAGCAAATAATACCCCAATTAGCGGCGAAATAAAACGTACAAGGCGATCCAGCATAGCTCCCTCTACACCTAAACGTATAACAGTCTCAACTGGAATGTCTGTTAAAAAGAGATTTTCTCAATCCGAGTAAGTTTTTAGTTGCTAATAAAATTATTCTAATTATTATATAACTGAAAATCCATGTTTATCATGGTTTATGGTGTCTTCTTATTTAGTAACGCTTATTTTTAGTGGTAGTGTTTTGGCCTGTTTAATTAAGGATCAAACTCAAGCAATAAGTTCCAAGTCCAAATCTCAGTTGTTACTTCTTTTTGTGTTGAATAACAATGAGCAACTTTTCTGAATTAATTCTTATCAAACAATGTTATCCCTTATCCAGCAGATCCACTTGGGAGTTAGCTAGCTCATCATCAGAACCTGAAGACCAAAATCCTGTGGAGAAACCAGAACAGTCACATGTGAGACGCGTTCCACTACCACAATCAATATCCCATATTCCTGGTTGGTTGGCTGAATATTTTTTGAATCTTGCTCCGGAGAAAAGGCTTCCAGTGTATGAAGCGTGGAAACACCATACTATCCATGGGTTCTGTTGTCCGCTAGCATGGATGCATAGAGAATGTATTGCAGGTTTTGCTGTATCTGCCGCACTACACTACTTGAAATGTCCCTACTGTGCGAACAGAGAAACATTCATCAAGTCTATCATCAGCGCCGGTATATGGGTTCCTGACCAGTAAGAATATTATTTGTTGATTTTGATTTATGTGTATTGATTCTATTCACACGTGTGTGATAAGTACTTAAGCTATAAATTTGAGGGAACACACAGAAACTTCTTGCATTTGCTTAACATCGAATAGAGTAACATTGTTAGCTAGATGATTGTACAAAAATAGTCGAATTAGCAGTTAATAAATCAGTCACTTTAAGTGTGATATATGTTAAACAAAACGGGGCAACAACCCATGAAGTCCTTGACTGTTGGTTTGAGTCATATAAGGGGGTGCAGACTGTCTGGCTGGGATTATCGAGACGTTAAGAAACAGTAGGTAGACACTGTTGGTAGCATGGATCAAAGTCTCTCTCAATGACCCTTTGTGAACTCCCAGACCCATTAAATCCTCATAGTTGCTCATATAATTTTTTCTTCCGTACATTTCTGTTCTGAAGAAGATAAAAGACAGTTCAGCGAAAAACATTTCTTCATCACCTAAGTCCTTTTCAAAAGACATACAATCGTATTTATGTTTGCTAAAAACTTATAGCAATCTATTATTGAATAATGAGGAATGGGATGATATAATTGATACAATTACTCAGGAGTAGTTTCTAAAGACAGGGGAGTTACACAATAAATAACGGAATGGTGAGAAGCAAGGTAAGGAAAGAAAATAAAAGATTCAAAAACCTAAGCAATCAAACATTGTATAGGCATTCATTCCACCGAGGCGAATTTTAAGATGCACCGATTAAACTCGCATACTCTATCACCAGTTGTAGAATTCTGTACGATGAGTTAAATTGTGCAGTGTTTACGGTCAGTTTTTTCTAACGTGTCTTCACCGGAGCGGGGAAGGGATGACACCAGTCTTGTTGATCCCTTGCTCTCAGTGTACAACTTTTCTCCCAAACCTGCTCCCTATTGCTAGGCACATGCATTATGACAGTAACTGCTTTTCGTTATCCTGATATGCATCTAGTAACTCCGACATTGTAGGACTTTTGAATACAATCGTCCCAGTCAGCATAGCTTTTTTGGTTGTTGTCATGTTCATATCGAACCATAGCAGCACCATGAAAGTTGTAGGTCCAAACTTCACTCAACTATTGAAATAATTCTAATTCAATACTAGATAATTGACTTTTTAAGCAGGTTAAGTAAGAAATGCAGCCCACAATGTGTATTTTCCCAGGAAAGTGCAAAAATCGGTAAGTTGGATTAAAGCGGTTCTCATTGTCGTAGTACAGTATTATTGCCGTTTCTTCCACGAAGAAGTGCTCTTTTTGTCATTACTATTAGAATAATAATGCAGTTTGGTTACCTTTGGTACCGGTCGTTTTGCATTCAAAACGGTCAACGACACTTAATACATTAAAGCTGATGTTAAATAGATGAAAGGAAGTAAAGGGGTGGTTAAAATCTAACCTACTTTCTTCAAAGTCAGCAAACATAATACGATTTTCAGTCACCTTACTCAGTAAGGATTTACCATTTTGTCGACAAACTTTCTGTTATTTTCTGTGACTTTACCTTTTATCTCAACATTACTTATCTTGTTATTGCAACAAAAGTGTACCATGTTGTGTATTATCAAAAGCTTATAGTACTTGTACACCTGTCTTTGGCAACAGTGCCTCACAACCATAAAATAAAATGCAATATACTGCTATACACTTTGATAAGTTGCGAGATATTACACCAGTGACATAAATGGGGCAAGCTAGCAGATATCTAGCAAGTTTTTTGTTCACATACTGCAAATTGTAAGCAATCAGTTCAATTAATTGTAATCTATTAAGATATATGACGCTAATCTATGGAATCATTATCTATTGGTCTCATTTGTGTTGGGCAATGTGTTTCGGCTGGTTGTACATCATATTTTGATACTGTTTATCTGCCAAATTTTAGTCTAGTCACTCAATGTTTTCTTAAATCCTACTGCTACGTCCGCGGAAGTAGTACTTTGAGTCATTTGTGAAATGATCCAGTCACATTAATTGACCAAAGTTCGTAGAATTTCCATTTGTCTTATTCATCTTAACTGGGACTCTGAGTTCAACTTCTACACTGCTTACACGGCGATTCCATCAAGCTACATTCCCCACTGATGCTACATAATGTCTCCGACTTTGCTCTGATGGCTGCAGTAAAGGTGTCTTTTGTAGTTTCCTCCTTCAGCCTAGGAGTGATGAACTTGAATTGAGGTTTGTCTCCAGTTGTTCTGAAGGCTTTCAGCTTAACCTTAATTTATTATTTTTTTTATTCCTTCGCGTTCCCAGTGGAACATAGGGCTTCAAGCTAGAGGCTTGAAGTTTCTGTAGCAGTGTTTTATTTTTACAGGATGGGGTTGCTAGCCTCATGCCCAACCTTTCCTCTTCACCAGCATTACTTCTGGCTTAGCGAGGTAAAGGAGTGCGTCGGTGGCCGGGGATCGAACCCCGGACCATGTGCATGGTCAGCAAGGGTCCTAACCACTGTGCCACCGACGCACAGGGTTCCTTGAACTAGATAATGGTCTGAGTCCACATCTGCTCCCCTTCTCGACTTCCTGTCCATCAGAGTGAGTTTCCACTGTCTTGAGCAACAATGAGAGAAAGTCCGTCTGATTTTTGGTGTGTCCATTTGGTGAAATCCATGTCTCTCTGTGTATGTGCTTGTGCTTGTACACGCAACTTGAATCACCAAATTATTGAAGGTGCAGCAGTTTGCGAAGATTTGGCCGTTCCCATTCATTCCGCCAAAAGCCTGTGGACCCCGGATGAATTCACTTCATGTTCAGTTTACTTCCATTTCGTCTGGCATTAATATCACCCATTAGATGTTGCCATTTGGACTTTTGACCACTGCTGTTTCCAGTTGTCTATCGAAGTCTTCCTTCTTTCTTGTTCTGTGTTGTATGTAGGCGCCTAGCGTAGGATAATTGTAACCTTCTTTCTTTTTGAGTTGAATCATGGTGTCATTATCTTGGATAAGATTGGTTCTCACTGCATTAGAGCTTTGACTAGTGTTGGTGACATCACTATAGCCACTCCCTCACTGTGCCCGTGGTTGTCATCTGGGCGACCGAAGTAAATTACTGACTCACCATTTGACAATTTAGCTAGTCCACATCAGTTTTATCTACTCTCGCAGATTCCGAGGACTTCTATACCATATCTTCTCATTTCTCCGGCTACCTGGGTAGCCTTCCCAGCTTCGAACATTGTACGTACATTCCACGTCTCAGTGCTTAATTTTGCTTTCATCGAAAGAAGACATCGGCTGACTTATTTCCCGAAGGCTTTCACCAGCCCGCGTCATTTTGGTCTTTCCTGTCCTAACAAGGAATACGTTTTTAAAATATTTTTTTATCGTGCTTTAAAGTTCCTAGAGCGATTGGATTAGTTTTCTGGGGTAGAGTCGCTTTCCCAACTTATCTCTTTTCCCTGGCTTAGGACTGATTGGAAAACTAGCAAACTAGTTACAGAGCCATTTAGTTTGCGCTTATTTGACTTTGATGGCTGAAGTGTGCGTTGGTGGCACAGCGGTTAAGACTCTTGTCGACCGTGTACATGGTCCGGTATTCGATCCCCTGCCGACGTACATCTGATATCAATGGTCGGCCTGCAAAATTTGGGCTACCGATATCACTTGCTGAAAATTCCATACTTGTACCAAAAATAAGGTGTGTAATCGAGTTATAATCAAAAAAATAAATGATGCGTGTCAAATATCAAATGAAATAAAGTAGACATTTTTTCACAAACGTTATTGGCTATAATAGTATCTCGGAGAATTATACTTTGTGTTGTTATTTGTCTTTTTAAAGGGATGCAGCGTGGGAACTCGAACCAGGAGCGTATGCAGACCTAGTCCCTGTTAGCGAATGTTCCTCCGGTGCCAATGAAGATTCACAAAGCACTACTATAGTAGTAGTACTAGTAGCAGTAGTACGACTACAAGTTATTCAGAAGGTCACCGTGAACGCAATGGGTTGGTTCAAGAAGAGGAATTAGAAGCAGAGAAACAAGACTCACGAACTGTAAATTTAGACAATGGATATCGGTCGTCAGTTGGATCATCGTCTACAGATCAAGAGAATTTACCACTTCTTACCCTTGTATGGAATAACCAGAATTTCAGGAAACGCCGTCGGCGGAGACAACCAACTAGACGTCAGACACAGATAACCCGAACTATTCCAGACACACCTAGACCAACCCGTATCTATCGTAGGCAGACGTCCATGACAACACGAAGCACTCGAGATGATCACTCGCCAAATACTACTAATGAAAATAGACTACGTCAAGTAACTTTAGGGTCTTTCCTTTCTGTTAAGACTGAAACTTCCCGGTAAACTATTTCCCTTTTTTTTATTACCACTTATTTTTACTACTTTCCAAATCACTAACATTTAAAAATTGAAGATTGCATTTGTATATATATATACGCATATAAATAACAATAATCATGTTATTCTTCCGAATAGTTTTCACTTCCCCTAGTACAAAGATCAGCATTTATGTAAGATACAATGCTTATATGTATTTGAAATGATTACAAATGACTAGATTGTCATTATGCTGTGTAATAGATGTTAGAAAGAGTTATACACGAATGAATTATGTTCAGTAAGTTGCTTCATTTTCTTATTACAAGTGTAAGTTTTACTGGATATAATTTATGTTTTGAATGTCGTTGAGTTATTCCTCGTCGCCCAGACGGCGGTTTGCATTCACCAATCACTTTACCAGTTATATATATATATATATATCACTATTATAAATAATCGGAGCAAAATAAAACAGCAATGTAGCATAGTACAATGACTGTAACATTTCATATTTGATCTGTCTGTCTGTCTGGATTCAACATAGAACTTGGCACCGAAGTGCAGCAGTTCGAGTTGCCACGTTCCAAGTAGCACACAAAGGTAGTCAAGAAAATGAGTGAAGAGAATCAATAGAGTTTTGACAAGTATAGGAGTGAAACAGAATGAGTAATGGTAGAAAGGAATATGAAAGATTACAGAGACTGAATACATCTGCGTAAGCCATTGACAACGATTTTGAGCCATTTCACCTATTGTCTTCAGCCATTGATTCTTAGAGTCCCGAGGGTGGGCCCCAACCCGGAAGTCTGCATTCCCTCCCTACCTGACTCAGTTTAACTGTCAAGGATTTCATGGATTGATGAGGCCATGTTTTTGTTTGGCCACCACTTACTCTTTTCCAACTTGCACATATATCAGCTAGCTAGTAATGCCCGTCGGGGGAGGCGATGGTTAGGCATGCGCAGCAGGTTATCTGTTTCTAATCTCAGTATGATAGTTGTTTAGATAAAGAGAAAAATGCTGGCAACTGCGTGAAGGAAACTGATTCTTAGAAGACGGAATTTATCTGTATTTGCGCAACACATTTCGAACAGTCTGTGATCATACATTCACTTATCGAATCAATTTATGTGAAAAAAAAATAAAAGAATAAGAAGGATGATAATTAACACTACTTTTGGTAATATGATCATATAAGGAGTACTAAGGTAGGTTGTCTTTGTACAAACAATGGGGGTGGGTGGGTGGCGGAATTAAAATAGGATAGAAGACGTTCAGGCATGAGTTTTTTTTCTCTCTATTTCTTTACCAACCTTAAACAGAATAATGAAATGATCGGGTCGGCATTCTGAAGAGCTTACGTCACGTTAAATTGCTCCTAAGGATGGAGGAAACGAGGAGATACGGCAATGTGTGCTAACTAAACACAGTTATCCTTCTCCCATGAGGCTAACCAACCCTTGGGATTGGCAAATGAAAGCCTTCAGGTTGGCATTAGTAGTATACCATCTGTCACATCTATACCAACAGTGCTATAACTACCTACATAAACACCTCTCCACCACCATTATGTTTATGATGCAAAGCATACTCCATAATCCCCAATTGATTGTATGGGGTTTCTGTATTGTCTCAAAGTGAAAGTAATTACATATTCAAGCTAAATTTAGCAACCGATCTACGCCATCACTGTCTACATCCTTCAAGGTTATCATGGGTTGAGAATATTGGATAGTGGTAGTATTTTGTACAGGGATTTCAAAGTATTTATAAAATTTAGACAACTTGGTAGATCACATTTGCTTATCAGATGTGTTTTTAGTTGGTTATAACACACTGCATTAAAGTATGAATAATTTGGATGATGTTTCAAGCACATTTCATCGCTCACAAACATTCACTTTACGTGTTGGAAGAGATTAGCATGATTTTCGTCTAAATCGCAATCAACTTCATTTAGTGTCTTCATACCGTTAGTATTTTAGTGTAATACACACTATTCAGTACTTCTGTTGGATATTTGGAGAACTGGTTTGCTTTAAGAAAGAGGAGGGAGGGAAATTGTATAAACCAAGTAGGGAAGTCAGTCGTGTCAATACATTGATATGATTATGAGAAATAAGTTGTGCTCGGAACGCGACCTGGTTAGTAACACTATCTCTGTGTTATGTTAATCAATCTTAATAAATGATTACCTAATGACTTCAGTGACTCAGGGATTGACTTGTTACCAGCAGGGAATAATCTTGTTGACTTAGAATATGCAGATGATATAGTCCTGTTCCTAGGTGGAGACGCTGACAAAATGCAGAGTCTTCTGAACACCTTGAGCTGCAATCTGCGAATGTTTCGTATGCGATTCGCTCCTGTCAAATGTAAGATGATGCTACAGGACTGGACTACATCGATTACTCCTAGCCTAAAGATAGGGGGTGAAGTAGTTGGTGGAGTGTGTTGACCACTTCACTTATTTGAGTAGTTGCATCAGCTAGTGCCAGCGGGTTGATCGCTGACGAAATCTCAGCCGGGATACAGAAGGCACGTGTGACATATGCCATCTCTGGTGTGGACATGATATCCGGCTATCGATCAAAGGGCGTGTGTACTGCTCAACAGTCCGCTCCGTCCTCCTTTATGGCTGTGAGACCTGGCCATTGAGAGTGGAAGACATGAAAAGACTAGCTGTCTTTGATCATAGGTGCCTGCGTTCTATCTCCTGTGTGAAGTGGTACGACAGGGTGACCAATATTGAGGTTAGGCTCGAGTGCTATTTAAGGAGGGGAAATCAATCGACGAGGCTGTGAAGCTACATCGACTGAGATGGTTAGGACATGTGTTACGCATGCCCAACCACCATCACCTTCCTCAACAGACAATCTTAGTTGACATAGGATCAGGTTGGAAAAGAGTTAGCTAGTGATGGTCAAACCAAAACATGACTTCATCAGTCAATGAAATCCACAACAGTTATTTTAAGCCACGTGGAAGGTGTGGACTTCTTGACTGGTTGGGGTCCTCGGGACGGTAAAAACTACTGATGGCTGGAGACAATTGGTGATATGGCTCAAAATTGTTCTCAATGGCTAGCGCAGATGCATTCACTCTTTGTGATTTATCATATCCAATAAGACTCTGTTGTTCTTCCACATTACTATTATTTTTTCCTCAATTCCACACATGTATATAAATGAAGGAAAAAAGTTGTGTGGGTAACTTGATATGATTATGAGTGGCAATAGTTTGTGCTCGAAACGTCATCAGTTAATATTACTGTATAACACTGTGTGATTTATCAAAATAAAATCTTATCCATAATGGAGTTATACTCTACCACAGTGCCCAAGTTTTATACTTATATCAATAATACATATTTCTGTTTATTATCTCTCTTTACTGTCTTCTCTTGCTTCGTGTGCTACATGGAGTGTGACAACTCGAACTGGTGCACATCTCTGCAAAGTTCTACGTTGAAAGCAGTCAGTCAGTATTAAATATGGATTTATACTTTACCATGGTGTCTGAATTACACATGAAATTATTACTCTCAGTGGACATACTTAGTTCCAGATAAAATCAGTGATTTGTCTTACAAACGAAAATTTTGGTTTTGAATAAAGCAAGAACAACAGTTTATGCAGAATAAGATGGTACCATCGTCTATTTCGTTGGGTCCTCAGCTGCGTACAACCCAAAGAATAAATTTGTCAAAAGAACCGATATCACAGCTCAATTCGAAAACTTATTCTATCAACTGAATGACCTTAGTCTAATTGATGAGGACAAGAAGAGCTGGTTTGAATCTAACCCGGTCGACGTTGCAAATCAATACCTCATTTCACCAACATCATATTCCAATATCCTTTCTGAGAAGCATCAAAAATTCGCAGAAATGATGACGAAATCGTCATATTGCGACCTGACAAAGGCTGATGATTTTAAAAACCAGAGAGTCCCATTTGCCCTTACATGTACGGTCTGTCAAAAACACACAAAGAAGACGTCCTCCTGAGACCTGTACTTTCGATGATCAACTCGCCCCATCACAAAGCTGCTCGCAGAAAAGTGGGAACCAGTTCGTCAACGGCTAGCTTTGTACTCCATGAAAGATTCATTTGGCTGAAAGCGTAAACCACATGAACGTTTCAAATAGTTTCATGGTGTCATTTGATGTAATCCTTGTTCACAAGGATACCAATCAATGAAACTGTAACAACAGAAGACAATGGCCAGGCAACAGATCCTTTATTAAGGAAATCAACACATATTTATAGATTTTCATGTACATTATTATAGATTATTGTTAGCAGAAAAACACAGTCTTCTGATTGGTTGTTTCTGACTGAAAGTTAATCTTTCATCTCTTTGTGGCTGTTTCTTGAATGTCAGATCATCTATATGCCAACTGTATCCACCTACGCAAAGTCTTTGTTCTTATTTTTCTCACGACCAATATTGGGGACATTAACATTGACGTAAATAAATGTCTACCAATTTAGCTAGCGACCAGCTCTCACCACAAAACTATTGAGATCATTCGTCAGTCTTCTGATCTTCTATCACTTCCAGTGTTGGAATTCAAACGTCTACTGTTAATGTGTACCATGGATGTACGATTCCAGTTTGACAACACTCTTTACCGCTAAATAGATAAGGTAGCTCTGGGCAACCCGCTTAGCCCTGTTTTAGTAGAAATCATGTCCAAACTTGAGAGAACAAAGTTTAAGCATGCAATGGGCGAAACAACTTCACATTGTCTATAACACATTTACAGTGTGCAGCAATGAAAGTCATGCTTCCCACCTACTCAGATTATTCAACGACCCACATACAAATATTGAATTTACTACGGAACATGAAAATGATAGAAAGTTCCATTTCCTTGGCATTGCCATGCAACGCCTGGAAGATGGTAGTCTTCAGAGGTCAATTTACCGAAACCCTGCATGGAATTTACAATACCTGCATTTTCTATCCAAATAGCTATAAACGAACACTAGTCAAAACTTTTATAGAGTCAGGAGAATATGTTGTACAGAAAAAAATTAGAGGAGGAATTTATCATTCTCGAAAAGATGTTGAAAAACAACAGTTACCCTGAGAGATTCATGAACAAATATGGAAGATGTGAAGGCTCCAAACACCAGACAAATCACAACGGGAAAATGGCCTATCTTCATTCAACTTTATTTTAAAGGTGGCAATGCTGCAAGAATAGCAAACCGAAGGTTGAATATCTCACTGTCAAGAACCTATCCTGAAGCTAAGTTGGTTGCTGTTTATCGGACTACATGCTCCTTGGTGTAATCAAAGGTCGACATATACCCTTCTCATGTTAACTCAAAATGTGTATACGAATTTACGTGTATCCGTGATAGCAGTTACATTAGAAGAAGGGCACACCTTCGATTTTCTGAACATGTACCAAAAAGCCTACTTCTCAAGGAAGCAAACGTTTACAATATTGCC